ATGACCGAAAAATGGCTCGTGAACTGAACATATCTCAATATTCCGTTCGGCAAATATTGAAAAATAAGCTCGGAGTAAAGCCATTGAAATTCCAAAAAATGAAAGAACTTCTACCGCAACAGAAAGAAAAATAGACTCAAAAGAGCTAAAGAGTTGCTTCGCTTGGCCGAAAGTGGTGAACTGCCGAATTTGGGTTTTTCTGATCAGAAAACATTCGTTGTCCAGCAGTTTGTAAACAAACTAAATTATCGTGTTTACTTGCCAAAGAGGTCAGCTGAAAATGTGCCCCTTCGGTTGGCCACCAGAACTCAAGAGCCGGCCATGGTAATGATGTGGGCAATCATAACAGCTGATTGTCGATCTCCGGTCGTATTAATTGACCGTGGCATTAGAATAAATGCCATATATTATGGAGAAAATAATCTGGAGGGTGGAGGAGGGTCATTTCAACAGGACTCAGCACCATTGCACTTAGCACGCGCCACCCAAGAATGGTTACAAAATGAGAGGAACCTCATTCTTCATTTCCAAAGCACAATGGCCAACAAAATCTCCGGATACCAATCCGTTGGACTATTGTGCCTAGAGTATTTTGGAAAGCAAGGTTGGCATTGAAAAATACAAAAGTATCGATCACCTCAAGCAAACGCTTTGCCGGGAATGGGCCTAAATACAATAGAGCAACATTCGGGCAGAGTGTGACGATTGCATTCGCCATTTGAAGGCCATAATTCGTGCCAAACTTGACCGATTCGAACAAATCTAAACTTATTCTAAAATTTAATGCTATTTCCAGCATTGTTTGCTTTCACGTAATAAAATTTATAAAAAAAAAAATGTGAAAAATTATGGCGTTTGATTTTGTTGTAGTTTTTTTATCTCACCCTGAGTATGCAAGACAAATTCAATTTTTTTAATTCTTAGCTCAAGCCATGCGAAAAACCATAAGAAAATACATTGATCAAAGCTCCAGAATAACTATACAAAATTATTTTATTTATTTTTTTTACTTTTTTTTTTGATAATTATATTTTTACGTTTTATTTTTTCTCATTCTGCAGTAAACCCAAAAACGCCCCCCTAGAGTTGCGCATACAAACTTTTGCTCCCGTCGATTTGTTCCCCTTTACCTTATTGCAGAGCGCAAAGAAAATGGTGGAAATTATCAAACGAAATCCCATACAAAACTCCGTCTGGGCACCGTCGATACGTATGACAACGAATATGTATTTGTATTTCGTGTGGCTATTTTTGGTTCACATACCTATGGCCATATTTTATGATGCCCTCTTGATTATATCGAAAAAGAAACCCATGTAAATAATAGGTTTCCCCCCTTGAATTTCAATAGATTTTATTACTTTTTGTCCTCTTTTTTTAAGGCTTTTGCAAGCAAACCGCAAAATTTTCTACGCCGTCAGAACGTTGGGTAAATTTTCCAAAAAATATTTCGAATTTCAAAACGATGGCATGTGGAATGTGTTAAAATTTACCTTGGAACATGATGAGAAGTGAGTATTGAAGCACAATAATTTGTAGGCACATTGTTTGAAAACTTCACAACAGTAAATACATCGATCTCATTTAATAATTAACTCTACCCGCGAAAACGGCAAAAGTTTTATTTTTTTAAATAAATTTATTATTATTATTGCTATTGCTATTATTAATGCTATTTTTCTTTTTAATAGTCGCCGCTTTTATGTCGTTGATCCCAAAGATTTGGATTTCCATCATGCATTTGAAGGTGAGTTTCAATTTCTGAATTACCTGTATGGCTACTTCATCAGTGTATAATAACTTCATCTTTTTGCAGCCCTTGTAAATGGTTTGAAGAAACACATCTTCAAGGAACCCCTAGAAGCTACAGCCGCCACCCGTCAACGCTTCAAAATGTTTGTTCTGTTGGATAAATCTATTAAGTTGTTGTTATTTTTAATTGTTGTTAGATGCTTATGGAAATGGACGTATTAATTTTTCTAATAAAAGATCTAGCTAATAGAAATAAGAAGATAGGAATTGGGACAATAAACTTTAAAGAAAAAAAATGTGTATATATCTTTTCCTGTATTTTCTAGGTTTCCTATATAATGGCATATATCTTCTAAAGATAAAGTCTTTTTCCACAGGTGGTGTTATTTTGCAATTAAAAAAAAAATTAAAATTATTTTGAGATAAATGATAAGATGTTTATTTTAAAATAGAGAGGGTCTGTCCGTTAATAATAATAAAAAAAATATTAGCCCAATAGTAGAGACAAGTACGTTTATGGGTTCAATAAGTAAAAAACATTAAGTTCGGCTGGGCCGAACTTTTAATACCCTCCACCTTTGGGTAAAGAAAACATTTTTATATAAAATATCTGAATTCTAAGGTGTTCCACTTTAAATTACAAATACCAGCAAGACCGTTTGCTTAATGCTGTTAAACTTTTCAAAAGCCTATAAAGTGAGTGCGGCCGTTATATGGGTGCCATACCATCCTCTATAGAAAATTTTATACTTCAAAGATTGTCATCCACCAAGTCTTCTTAAACACCAAATTTGAAACAATTTCGTGGTTAACCGTGACTAAGATTATTAAAATACCGAAAATCGCGGGGTATCGTTATATGGGGGCTATACCAAAACATGGGCCTATATATTCAATGTTCCGCCACCGCAGCTAGAAACTATTGCGAATTACAAATACCAATTTTTAGACAAATCCGTAAAAAAAATGGCAAAAATCATCCAAAATACCGAATGTCGGAAGGTACCGTTATATGGGGGCTATACCAAAACGTGAACCCATATATACTATGTTCCGCCACCGCAACTAGAACCCATTGCGAACTACAAATACCAATTTTTAGACCAATTTGCTAAAAATGTGAAAAAATCATCAAAATACTGAATATCGGCTGGTACCGTTATATGACGGCTATATCAATACGTGGACCGATATATCTCATTTTCAGTACCTACCAACCTAGACACATTGTTCTGTATCGTGATTTCAACAGACATACAGACAGAGGGACTTAGTTAAATCGACTTTGAAGTTTATGCTGATTATGAGTATACAGGGTGAGATAGAAAAACTGCAGTAAAGTCAAACGCCATAATTTTTATTTATTTTTTTTAATTTATTGAATGAAAGCAAAAAATGTCGTAAATAGCATCAAATTTTAGAATAAGTTTAGATTTGTTCGAATTGGTAACCTTTGGCACGAATTATGGCTTTCAAACGGACAATGAAACCGTCACATGCTGCCCGAATGTTGCTCTGCGGTATTTTGGCCCATTCCCGGCGAAGCGCTTGCTTGAGGTGATCAACACTTTGGTATTTTTTTAGTGCCAACCTTTCTTTCCAAAATACGCCAGACACAATAGTCTAACGGATTGGTATCCGGAGATTTTGGAAATGAAGCGAGGAACCTCATTTTATAACGAGGAACCTCATTTTTGGGTGACGCGTGCTGAGTGCGATGGTGATGTGTCCTGTTGGAATGTCCAAGGTCTGCGGCCAACATGTTTGCGTGCGCAAGGCTTTAATACACCCTCCCGAATATTTTCACGATTATATTCGGCATTTGTTCTGATGCCACGGTCGATTAACACGAACGGAGAGCGATCATCGGTTATGTTATGTTAGGGCGGCTCACATATGTTCAGCTAACGAGCCATTTTTCGGCCATTGCGACGCGGGTTTCGATCAAATCGCTTCTTTACTTTTCGAACCATTTCTGCTAATGTTGCTGTTTGCTTCCATCCATTTTCTCGACGACGGTTTACGCTACCAGTATCATGGTAACAAGCGATGGTACGAGACAGACGTAGTCTAACGATAGCCACTTGTGGTTTTCTAGCCAAATATAAAGAAATCACACTATCACGCTTGAATTCCATCACAAATAACTTTCAAATAAAATTCACACCAAATTCCTTTTGGTATAATGAGCAGTCAGTGGAAAAATTTTAACTTATATAGAGACTTTCTATATATACGCCTTTTATGTGTCGTCTATGGATTGAAACCCTTTTTAGGAATTCTAAAAATAGTCCTTTAAAATTAAAGATCTACGACTAACGACTAAGTGTCTTTTATAACTCTATTATAGAGAGAATACATTGGGAATAAATTTGATGGGCAATCTGTCGATATATCTTTAAGAGATTGTAGACATTTTATAAGTATTTTAAGCAAGGAATATTTTTCGACAGAATACTTTATATTGGTCATTCATGTATTCGAATTTTCTGTGATTTTTATCTGGATAAATTACTTTTTAAAAGTCCACTATAGATAAAACACTTTTTTCAGCTCTACGCTTCTTAACATCTATAATTATTGGTAAAACATTTACATAGGTCTTCTATAGACAGTCTGTTTTGTAACGGGCACCTATATAATATATTACTAGGTTTATAACTACCTTTTATGTAAATACAAGTACAACATTTGCTTTCAATATAGTTATATTGTCAAACAATAAAAAAAGGAATCCTTTACACTTTATTCACAATTTCTAGATGTAAAGCTTTTACAAAATAATTCTAATAAATACAAATGCTTAAGCACAATAATATGTCCAGTGCCTACAAATTTAAACGATATACCCTAACTAAACAATCTTCACCACAACTGGCCAATTGGAATTGATTTGTAGCTGTGCAAGCCGGCCTAAACTGTAAACGCTTTACGGTTAAATGATGAGATTGTCTGGAAATAAATAAAATTTATTATAAAACAAAATTTGATCACAAAGAGTAAATAACAAACTTACGATGTATTCATTGTTAGCAACAAATTCCATTTGCCATCGAATGAATAGATGTATACGAAACCACTTTCACAACCCAAGGCCACAATATAGGAACCATTTGTATGCAGGGTCTGAGCAAATGTGACAGCAGTAATTGATTCATGTTTCAGCTCCAAAACATCCAAACTCTTCCAGCCATTTAGCGATGAGTTATTGCTCTCACCCTCATTACACCAAACTACCACCTTACCCTCACGTGAGGATGTTACAAAATACTTGTTGTCATGTGACCAATCGCATGACCATATAATTCTTGTATGGATACCATTTGTTTTGTCTGTAGTAGCAGTTAATTTATATTGAGCGACTTTCTCCTCTGACGACACGGAACGTTCAAATAGAGACCATCTGCGATCACGGGAAACCGACAACAAATACTGGCCATTGGGTGAAAAACGCATTTGTGTAACTGTCAGCTGATGGGATGGAAGTTTTTGTATCTGCTTCCAATTTGTTGTATTCCAAAGAATAATTTGTGCATGCTCGGCATTTGTGGATTTACAAGAGGAGGCCAATAGTGAAGCGTCTGGTGATGAGGCCAAGGCATAAATTTCATAACCATGGCCATAGAGTTTTTGAACTTCAGGCCAAAGGGTGTTTTGCATTAAAGTCTCTTCCTGGGGCGGTGAATCCAAAGTAACAGGTGTAAAATAGTTCTCCGGATATTCATCTTTGACATGACGTTCGGTTTCTGCTGGAGTTTCTGTGTTGTAAACCGCTTTGTTGGATAGACCCAGTGATGGAACTGAGGCACCTTTTGGCAAAGCTGAAATAAATACTCAAATTAGAACTGAAGATGGAATTAAAAATATACGCTACTTACATTCTAACAAAGCATCTCCATCCGCATCATTCTCCACTTTGGTGATGCGTCTAAAGTTCTCTATAAAATTAGCCGAGGCCTGGAAAGTTCTTACGATTTTTTCTTCTGCACCACTGGCAAATTTGTAGCGGGTCAACAAGGCCAGAGCCTGCATATCATAACCATGTACTTGAGGACGGGCTAATTCATGCCAGGTTTCCACATCACCTAATGATGAACGCCACGGTGCATGAATACGTGTTGTCTGATCTGCTGATACGGACATTAAATATTCTCCTTGCGGTTCCCAGGCAAGATCTCGTACTTCACCAAAATGTCCACCAACAATAACCTGGGGCACCCATATATTCTCATTATCTTCACTCTGTTGCCATACATGGAAACCACCCTGGTAGCTATGACCCAATATGGCTTTTCCATCGCTACGGAATTTTCCACCGAAAAATCCCAGAGAATTACCACCAACTTCTCCCAAACGAACTTTCTCCATCCAAATGCCACTTTCTTCGGAGGGTTGCCAGAGTATAAGTGTCTTATCAATAGAGGCGGAGAGCAAACTCAGGGTATTGTCTGCTGATTTGTGCCAATGAACACCATATACCCAGTTGTCATGGCCAAACAGCACAGATTCCAAACTTATGGCATACCAAGAATTTGATGAAGCTTGTACAATTTTTTCCTCTACTCGTATCTCTCCAGTGGATTCATCCAATAAATTGAAGATATCCACTTTATTATTGGTCACCTGTTCAGCATTTCGGGGTGCAATACGCCACAGACGTATGAAATTATCTTGTGATGAACTGGCCAAAAGCAAATCGTCACCTTCGAACATAAAATCTAAGCCTCGCACCCAGTCCTCATGGCCCAACAATTTGTGTATTGGTTGGAAAGTCAGGCTCTCGTCTTGCGCTTCAGACCACAAGGCAACTGACTCATCGTCGGCAGAGAAAGCCAATAAAATTTGTTCGGACTTGGGTAACAAAGTGAGGCGCAACGTAAAACAAAATCCTGTATTCAATACAATGGTTTGTTTACATTCGGGTAATGAGTCGGAACCTAGGCGATATGACCATATTTTGATTGTGGAATCCGCGGCAGCTGTTGCCAAAATCCATTCTCCATTTTCACGTTGGACACCATCAACAGCATTTACACCACTTTCGTGGCCCTTGAGATCGAAACTTTGAACATCATCGGGATTGATGAAATCCCATAAAATTGCCAATTTATCATCGGAGCCCGAAAGGAAAAGTGTCTCCTTTTCTGCACTAAAACCTTTTAGCCAGCGAACAGTGTTTACCCGTTTGGTGTGCTTAACGAAGGTATGGGTAATCTTGGCAGCGACGCCATTAACCTGCCATAAAGAAAAAAATGATTTAATGCATAAATTAGAGGGAATATTTTACTAAAAATACCATTGGATCGTAAATGGCCACGGCATTGCAAGCACCGAAAACAATAAGGTCATTATTGCCCCAATCGGCACTTTCCGTGGTTCGATTACAGGCAATCGAAGTGTAAATATTTTCCACACTCATAGTTTTGTTTATTCCTACAAATAAATATCCTTTTTTATCCTTTAAAATACAATTGCAACAGACAGTCGAACCGCACGTGTTGTTTTCGGTTTAATTGAGAGCAACCTGATCTAAAAGCGCTCCCAACGTTACGAATAACATGACAAAGTGAAAAGACCAATAAAGATGAGGAAAATTAAATAACTATTGTTATGAATGTGACATGAAAAGCAAAAGCCAATGTTTACGAATTAGGATTTAGGAAGAAATTAAATCAGCTGATAAATCGAGATCGAAGACGAGATGTAATCTTGGCGGCGGAGTCTTATTCTCTTACAGTGATATTGCCTCTAATGTAATTTATGTGCATGAAAATTATTGTAATACGGGTTGTTTAAGGACCACTCTACAATATGTGAGTAAAAAACGTCTTATAGCGCCATTTTTGTTATAAACTACATAAGTAAAGTAACAACGAAGATAAATTTCCAAAACAGACGTGATTAAAGTATGCTTACATTGATATACTTAATGTTTTTTTTTTGCTCAAAATAAATTAATCTGTAATCATTTAGAATTGTATTTTACTAGGAACAACTCTAGTTTAGTAAAAACTCTTAGATTTTTTCGAAATTTTTTCCAGAGGTAGGTATTTTTACGCTGATCCCGGGAAACTATTTTTTTCTTGGGGGACGGAACCGGGACCCCATATTTTAGACCCGAAAGTCCGGGATCAAGACCCCGCCTGGACCCGGATCCACTTACCCGATATAGACAATATGGGTATCGATTGAAAGCTTATGGAAATACCTATCCAACAAGTGGTCACATGAAGGGGTAAATTGTCATGGTTCGGAAGTTATAGTCAAATTATCGATTTTTTGGACCCGAATTTTTTATGAAACCCCCAAAAAGTCAAAAAAGGGCCCATTATGGGGGTCAACAAAATTGCTTCCAAATTATAGCTGACATTCTTACCTTTCCAAAATGCTACAATTTGTGCTAATACCTTTTTCGGTTCCAGAGATATGGGTCTTTCCATCCGCATAACCCGATTCTAACCAGTTCATTAAAATGATGTTTTTAATAAAAAAAGTGTTTATTTCGCGTAGCAGTCGTCGGAATAACAAAAGTTTTCTAAATTTGGCACTTTTTGTAAATAGCCGGCCTTCGGCCGGGGCTTGAGATTTTCTCCTCTTGGTATGTCCTACACCGGATAACGCGAACCAAAGTTTCCTAATTTGGATACCTTTTGTTTCCTAATTTGGATACCTTCGGCCGGGGCTTGAGATTTTCTCCTCTTGGTATGTCCTACACCGGATAACGCGAACCAAAGTTTCCTAATTTGGATACCTTTTGTAAGTAGCCGGCCTTCGGCCGGGGCTTGAGATTTTCTCCTCTGGGTATGTCCTAAACCGGCTAACGCGAACCAAAGTTTTCTAAGTTTGACACTTTTTGTATATAGCCGGCCTTCGGCCGGGGCTTGAGATTTTCTCCTCTGGGTATGTCCCACACGGGCTAACGCGAACCAAAGTTTTCTAAGTTTGACACTTTTTGTATATAGCCGGCCTTCGGCCGGGGCTTGAGATTTTCTCCTCTGGGTATGTCCCACACGGGCTAACGCGAACCAAATTTTTCTAAGTTTGACACTTTTTGTATATAGCCGGCCTTCGGCCGGGGCTTGAGATTTTCTCCTCTGGGTATGTCCCACACGGGCTAACGCGAACCAAAGTTTTCTAAATTTGACACTTTTTGTAAATAGCCGGCCTTCGGCCGGGGCTTGAGATTTTCTCCTCTGGGTATGTCCCACACCGGCTAACGCGAACCAAAGTTTTCTAAATTGGATACCTTTTGTAAGTAGCCGGCCTTCGGCCGGGGCTTGAGATTTTCTCCTTTGGGTATGTCCTACACCGGCTAACGCGAACCAAAGATTTTTGAATTTCATTCTTACGCAAAATATACCTTTTTTATTGTTATGCGGATGGAAAGACCCATATCTCTGGACTCAGTAAAGGTATTAGCACAAATTGAACCTTTTTGGAAAGGTAGAAGTGTCAGCTATAATTTGGCATCAATTTTGTTGTCCCCCATAATGGACCTTTTTTTGACTTTTTGGGGGTTTTATAAAAAATCCGGGTCCAAAAAATCGATAATTTGACTATAACTTCCGAACCGTAACATCTTACCCCATCATGTGACCACTTGTTGGATAGGTATTTTCATAAGCTTTCCAAAGATACCCATATTGTCTATATCGGGTAAGTGGATCCGGGTCTAGTCGGGGTCTTGATCCCGGACTTTCGGGTCAAAAATCTGGGGTCCCGGGTCCGTCCCCCAAGAAAAAAATAGTTTCCCTGGATCATGGTTAAAATACCTACCACTGAAAAAATTTTCGAAAAAATTGAAGAGTTTTTACTAAACTAGAGTTAAGCCTTTTACTAAAGTAAAAGTAAACTTTTTAGATGAACTTGTTCTGTTTCTCTTTTCTGTGAATGAGTGAGGAAAACTATCTAGTTTCGTTGTTCTCTTCCGAGAATCATTAATTTGAACTGCTTCATTTTGATTTGCCACCATTATATCGATTTCATCAATCGATCGATCATCATCTAACATCGATAACCTTTTTGAAATAAATAATTGCCGCAAATTTGATGATATTGGAAGCTAATTGTTAATAATTCATACAAATGGATAGTAAAAGCGAAAAAATACGCAAGAAGAATATTCGTGACCAACTAAAACGTATTAAACCAGGCGAGTGTCAGAAATATGTGCGTTTGGTACTAGACTGTCATATAATGTCGGCACCATATGGACGGGAGTTGATAGCCGAATTAAACACTGCCGTGGGTGCGGGAGATTTAAAATACGAAATAAGGAATCTACCCCTGAAGGGATCAATAATATGGGAGCGAAGTGTGGGCCAACTTACTCTAGCTTTTGGTGAGGGGAATGCCTTGTCCGAGGATTGGCAACGTGAGAAACAAGTGATTAAATTACTATGCCAGGAAGAACTTCAGCAGCTAGCCAGAAATCAAAATATGGAAAAATTAGCCGATGATTTGACAACAAAATATCCAAATATGCACCATATCGTTGCCTACCTATCCAATGATACGAAACATTCAAATTCCGAAAGCCATGCCTTATTCGAGTTACAAGTAATGCATCAATTGCAGGTTTTGGAAATAACGAATTATGCCAAGGGTTTGGTTAGTGAATTAAAACGTTTAAACAAGGCAATAGCCGAGGCACCATATAAACAACAAAAATCCGAGACAATGGAATCATTTAAGAAATTCTTGGCTAACGATAAAAAACAATGCGTTCGTGTTGAGGGTACCAACGGCTTTGGTCGTCTGTGGCAACAACATTTAAACCGCTTGCCTTTGGTCACTCTGGAAGTAGCCGAGACAATAATTGAACGTTATCCTTGTCCCAAAAAATTGATTGCTGATCTCAAAAACAATCCAGATGCTGTCAAGGAAATTGGTGATTTGAAAATAAAACGTTGCGGTCCAAAGGTGCTACAAAATGATCGCCGTATTGGTAATGTTTTGGCTTATAAATTATATATGCTTTATAATTCCACTGATCCAAATACATTGATTTGATTTGGATAAGATGAAATGATAATTCTATATGGGATCCGAAAGGAGAGAATTTCTAAAATAATTAACGAAATTGGTTTTGGAGATTGGATTGGTCTGTACAGTTTTTCCACATAGAATTAGCCATACACAATTTTTTTTTTTGCATTTTGAACGGAACATAAATGTGGATATTGCTTTTACTTACTTAATTCAATTGCCTATAAGAAACTTCAAAGGGAAGTGGTTTAACCGGGACGCCTACTGTCATTATAAAGTTATGCCTGTATAACGATATATAACACTAGAAATTAGTCAATTCTATATTATTTTTTTATTCCTTTAATTTTTTTCCCCATTGACATCTTGAAATTCGTGTGCTATAAAGTTGAGGAAAGCCCGAACTTAATTCTTTCCCTTTATTTTCATCGTGTCCCACTTTAAGAAATATTTTTATTCAATGACCAACGTTCCCAAATGAAATACGATTTGCTAGTTTATTCTAATTTTATTTCCTCATTTTTTTATATTGTTGATATCATTTTAATTTTAGAATTCTAATTATAAGTAGACGCATCAATAAAATTGATGAATGTGGCTATGTATAGAGGGGGTATTCGTGATTAAAGATCTTATGTTGATATTATATAGTTATGGTTTACAATGGCTTTCGTTTTATATTGTTAATGGTATTTTTGGCTTTTTTGTTCGCTACATATGTATATGTGAACTAGGATTATGATTTATAATTATAAATTTCGATGGAGATATTTTTTTTTTGATATTTGTAATTATAGTTCGTCCTTGGGAAATGTGAGGCTAATTTCGATATCCGGTGTAGGACATACCAAGAGGAGAAAATCTCAAGCCCCGGCCGAAGGCCGGCTATTTACAAAAAGTGCCAAATTTAGAAAACTTTTGTTATTCCGACGACTGCTACGCGAAATAAACACTTTTTTTATTAAAAACATCATTTTAATGAACTGGTTAGAATCGGGTTATGCGGATGGAAAGACCCATATCTCTGGACTCAGTAAAGGTATTAGCACAAATTGAACCTTTTTGGAAAGGTAGAAGTGTCAGCTATAATTTGGCATCAATTTTGTTGTCCCCCATAATGGACCTTTTTTTGACTTTTTGGGGGTTTCATAAAAAATTCGGGTCCAAAAAATCGATAATTTGACTATAACTTCCGAACCATGACAATTTACCCCTTCATGTGACCACTTGTTGGATAGGTATTTCCATAAGCTTTCAATCGATACCCATATTGTCTATATCGGGTAAGTGGATCCGGGTCTAGTCGGGGTCTTGATCCCGGACTTTCGGGTCAAAAATCTGGGGTCCCGGGTCCGTCCCCCAAGAAAAAAATAGTTTCCCTGGATCATGGTTAAAATACCTACCACTGAAAAAATTTTCGAAAAAATTGAAGAGTTTTTACTAAACTAGAGTTAAGCCTTTTACTAAAGTAAAAGTAAACTTTTTAGATGAACTTGTTCTGTTTCTCTTTTCTGTGAATGAGTGAGGAAAACTATCTAGTTTCGTTGTTCTCTTCCGAGAATCATTAATTTGAACTGCTTCATTTTGATTTGCCACCATTATATCGATTTCATCAATCGATCGATCATCATCTAACATCGATAACCTTTTTGAAATAAATAATTGCCGCAAATTTGATGATATTGGAAGCTAATTGTTAATAATTCATACAAATGGATAGTAAAAGCGAAAAAATACGCAAGAAGAATATTCGTGACCAACTAAAACGTATTAAACCAGGCGAGTGTCAGAAATATGTGCGTTTGGTACTAGACTGTCATATAATGTCGGCACCATATGGACGGGAGTTGATAGCCGAATTAAACACTGCCGTGGGTGCGGGAGATTTAAAATACGAAATAAGGAATCTACCCCTGAAGGGATCAATAATATGGGAGCGAAGTGTGGGCCAACTTACTCTAGCTTTTGGTGAGGGGAATGCCTTGTCCGAGGATTGGCAACGTGAGAAACAAGTGATTAAATTACTATGCCAGGAAGAACTTCAGCAGCTAGCCAGAAATCAAAATATGGAAAAATTAGCCGATGATTTGACAACAAAATATCCAAATATGCACCATATCGTTGCCTACCTATCCAATGATACGAAACATTCAAATTCCGAAAGCCATGCCTTATTCGAGTTACAAGTAATGCATCAATTGCAGGTTTTGGAAATAACGAATTATGCCAAGGGTTTGGTTAGTGAATTAAAACGTTTAAACAAGGCAATAGCCGAGGCACCATATAAACAACAAAAATCCGAGACAATGGAATCATTTAAGAAATTCTTGGCTAACGATAAAAAACAATGCGTTCGTGTTGAGGGTACCAACGGCTTTGGTCGTCTGTGGCAACAACATTTAAACCGCTTGCCTTTGGTCACTCTGGAAGTAGCCGAGACAATAATTGAACGTTATCCTTGTCCCAAAAAATTGATTGCTGATCTCAAAAACAATCCAGATGCTGTCAAGGAAATTGGTGATTTGAAAATAAAACGTTGCGGTCCAAAGGTGCTACAAAATGATCGCCGTATTGGTAATGTTTTGGCTTATAAATTATATATGCTTTATAATTCCACTGATCCAAATACATTGATTTGATTTGGATAAGATGAAATGATAATTCTATATGGGATCCGAAAGGAGAGAATTTCTAAAATAATTAACGAAATTGGTTTTGGAGATTGGATTGGTCTGTACAGTTTTTCCACATAGAATTAGCCATACACAATTTTTTTTTTTGCATTTTGAACGGAACATAAATGTGGATATTGCTTTTACTTACTTAATTCAATTGCCTATAAGAAACTTCAAAGGGAAGTGGTTTAACCGGGACGCCTACTGTCATTATAAAGTTATGCCTGTATAACGATATATAACACTAGAAATTAGTCAATTCTATATTATTTTTTTATTCCTTTAATTTTTTTCCCCATTGACATCTTGAAATTCGTGTGCTATAAAGTTGAGGAAAGCCCGAACTTAATTCTTTCCCTTTATTTTCATCGTGTCCCACTTTAAGAAATATTTTTATTCAATGACCAACGTTCCCAAATGAAATACGATTTGCTAGTTTATTCTAATTTTATTTCCTCATTTTTTTATATTGTTGATATCATTTTAATTTTAGAATTCTAATTATAAGTAGACGCATCAATAAAATTGATGAATGTGGCTATGTATAGAGGGGGTATTCGTGATTAAAGATCTTATGTTGATATTATATAGTTATGGTTTACAATGGCTTTCGTTTTATATTGTTAATGGTATTTTTGGCTTTTTTGTTCGCTACATATGTATATGTGAACTAGGATTATGATTTATAATTATAAATTTCGATGGAGATATTTTTTTTTTGATATTTGTAATTATAGTTCGTCCTTGGGAAATGTGAGGCTAATTTCGATATCGTTTAGAATTAAAAAAAATGATTTTCGAAATACCAAACTAAAGTGATTGGCCCACTTTACAAGAATAGTCCGTAACAATATGCAGATAATCAAAGTTAAAACTGCATTTTAATTCATTTTAAAATTTAACATCGTTTTAGTTATATTTTTTCACAAAAAATTTTCTAATAACTTCTGGAATGACCGAGAACATCCCAAGTGTAATCCGAAATGTATGAAATCCACAAGGACATAATTGTGGAACGAACACGCGGTTTACTACTTAAGCTAAATGAAGGAGACAGACAAAAAACAAAAGAAGGAACGACTTTTTACAATAGTTTTACACATGGAAAAATAATAACCGACAAGAATGATAAAAGTCTGGTAGAACCGACTGAATGATATCCTGCACCACTATTACATTTTAAAATAATATCTAAATAAAATGGATTTATGAAATTAAATGCTATATCAGTGGAGATTCCAAGGAAACCACCTAAGAATCATAACTTTCAGAGAAGGTAAATGTAAAACAATTATTGCGGCTCCCTCACTAAAATTTCAGCAATTGTTGAAATCGGACAGTGGATTTTCTAATCATTCCTTAAAAAACCCGGTTTTTTTTTTTTTTTGCTCAATTCCTAGTGGTGTAGGATATGGAGCAAATGTGCCCCTGCTCGTATGAAAAGTGACGATGATTTATGTATAATGTAACACTAATATAGATGTAAACGTTTCATTTTTACAATGTAGCCAATATGCGTGTGAATCCTAGACACGCTGAGACTACAGTTTGTCCCACGCCCCATACCATGGCATATATCGGAGACATGGGCAGGCTTGAGGCACGATGTACAAATGCTATGACCGCACTGCTGATGATACCGCTCAATGCTGGCGACAGGAAGCCCATGACCAAGATCAATATTGAAAAGAAACGACCAAACTTATGTTTGCGCAGCGTTACAAACGCTACAAGGGCGGCACATGTGTGTATAAATATTGACGAAAATAATGCCCAGAGGAAAATGTGATACCACATCTCACGAAAGTTGTCCAGACGACTCTGTGAACGTAAGCCCATGACATCGGCAATTGTGTCCAACTCATCATCATCAATGCCCGACATGACAAAGGCGGAAAATCGACTACTGCCGACACTAGGGACTCCCGTTTCCCTTGAAGTTAGAAATAATGACAACAGTTTGGCGGTTAGTGAAGACGATGAGGACAGGGATAATGTTAGTGAGGTAACAGCCAGTAATCTAAGCACGGAACCCTTTAACAATTGGCGTATAATGTTGATGCTGAATTTAACCTTTTGTCTGTTGCTTAAGTGTATCGAGTGCGTACAAAGAATATCACAAAAGAAAGTTGTTGGGGATATTTTCGATATTTTGCTTTGAATTGGTCAGTAGTGTGTATCTCTAATCAAATGTTTCTGATTTGTAAACCTATCGGCAGCAACGTTTTACTATCTCGTATTGAGGCTGCCAATACTTTTGCCTTCTTAGTTTGTTGATAAGCCCACAGTTGATGTTTTGCCTTATGAGTCGTCGTCGTCGTATACAGTAGTCTTCTTTGCATTATTACAAACGATATAGATCTGCAAGAAATAGCGTTAGACGAGTCACAATAAAAGACCTTCTGTTCCATACCTTAACGCCAACCAGTTAAATGGTCTTTAGTCCTTTGTAAAAATGGCCTTGGTTTGTCATAGCCTTGCTTTTGTGTACACAGATTTATTTATTTCCTTTTTTCTAAGTAAATTGATTGACAATATTTTTGTTATTATTGCTTTTTGTTTATTCGGTATTGATTTCTTATTTGCTTTATAATTTGACACTTATGTTATATTTCTGCGTTTTTGTCGTTTGTTTTGGTTTTTTCGTTTCGTTTTGCAGTTTTGTTTTTCGTACACCAGCCAATTTGATTAAATTTATTGCATTTTTCTCGCAAAAAATAATTAATTCTCTGACGCCTTCTTTCTGAAAGCTAACTAAGAATGACAAGAACAAGGTGAAATATTATGAATAAAGATCAAAATCAAAACAAAATGCCAACATTTGTTGTAGGGCTATCGAAATCGATAGGGTATGTTAATAAACAGCTGTTTTGGGTGTTGCCATACTTCTGGTATATTGTATAACACAATAAACAAAGGTGTAATTTTGTAATTTTTTTGTAATTATTTTCGATATCGTAAAGGGAAACTCGGTTATCGTAGTAAAAAATTTTGCATTCTTGCAGTATTGAAACATATGGTAAAATAAAGAGGTAAGGTAGAGCTACCAGCCGATTACAATTTTTTTCTGAGTGCGCCAATTTTGTGTATGTGTTTATGATTTTGAAAAATAAAAACAAAATATTTTCAAATTCAAAGATTAAAAGAAACGTGACTTTGGCTATTAACCAGTTTGGCCATGATATTGAGGGATTGGCACTATTGATCATACGAAATAAAAGCCAGCACTTCATTCAAAATGTGGAATAAATGAAAACAACTTGTTGCATATAATTTTGAATAATTCTGTGTTTCTGTAGTTTTACGAAGTTGTTCTAACTCTTTATTGTACCATGGAACATACCAAGTATTCCGTAAACAAACAAGAAGGGAAACTAATAGAAAAACCCTGTCAATTTTTCTTCGTTCTCAACAATGTAATGAATTAAAAAGCAAATTATAAACAGGAAAAGCTAATTGAAAACAAGTTCAGATTTGGCAAGAAAGCAAATGTGATAATCACATGAGGCGTGTTTCCCTCATCTTTTCCGCGTATAAGCGTATAGTTAGTATATATATAGGATCTAATTACATTCCACCTATTTTACGACTCAGACATTTGTTACTGGTTCTATACTGACAATGCTGAATGTCTGTAGTGTTAAGGTGGAAATACATAAAGCGCTTATCAGGCTGGCCATATTCCGGCTTTTTCGGAAATGAACAAAGAAGCCTGGGGTCAAAATCGAACTAAGTCAATCTAAAACTCCTTTGTTTATCTACGAAGAAGCCAGCCAAATATGCGCTTTATGTATTTCCACCCTTAGATTATTTGTTAGAGATTGTGAGAGGTACTGACACATTTTTTTTATTTTCTATAAATTCATCAAATCAACGTCACATTGAAGTATAGATTGGTTTTTAATTATCATATTTAAAAATTATTGTTTCTCTTCTTCCTGCTTTCAGTTCATTGGGTATATTTTGCTTTGACACATTTTCATACACGTTTTACTTGTACTTGGCTACATGTTTTAGGTCATTCTTAAGAAGCAACTGATCCATTCCAGTACTGCAAGAATATACGACTTTTTACTACGATAACCGCTTTTACCTTTATGACATCGACAAATATGGCAAAACTAGTAGATTCTTCCAGGTTGTGGAACAGAGCAAACATCTACTCAACAAATGTGGCAGATCGTTTAGCAATGCTCTTAAACGGGATGTATTCTGTCGTATGTATACTTTTAGTCGTTGGAAGAATACTTTTTTGCGTCCAAATAATTTTTCCTACCTATTCGCGAAGGACAACGTTTATAGCATGGCAGAAGAATACAGGTAGAAGCATAGTACAATGATATCAAGGTAGGGCTATGATACTATATGATTTCAATTTTTTATTTTCTTGGCTTAATATGTCATCTTTATTTGTTTGTGTTTGTGTTTTCTTTTCAATAACAAAAAAATTGTTCAGAAAACATTCAAATTCGGATGTTTTCAAAATGTTTATTTCATCGTATGAATCGACAAAATCTAGAGTTTTTGTAGCGAAATAATCCTTTAGAGATATATAGAACCTGGTTTTGAAAAGAAGTGTTAACTTTTCATTCAGTTTTCGCGGTTTTCAATTATATATTCAAAATAAATGCAACAAGTTGTTTGATTTTGTTATTGTTGTGATACTATTTCTGACATTACAAGCCAAACAGGTAGACCTCTATACTTGCAATTTTTTCCTACCTTCTCCTCATTGTACCATGGGTAGAAGCATCAACGCTTGGGAGCATTGATATGTCAAAAAATTGAGATGTTTTTCAAATATAAGTGGATTTTTATATGTTTTCTTATACTACGTCATTCGGAGGCTATTATAATTCGTATTTTTCAATAATTTTTACAAATATAAATAATTTTTCATTCAACATTTTCAATTCCAAAGTTGGTTTGACAGTTCCTTGTCCCAGCAGCTGTGTCGACGCGTCTACCTATATTCTTCTACCATGGTTTATAGCAATTCGCAATTAAAACAGCAAATAATCGAATAAAATACATTGAAAAAATCGAAAAGCGATAAATACACTCGATTATAACTATATGTCTACTTATTAAAAGTCGATCTACATATACCTAGTAGAAAAAATTTTCGCGTGCCGAAAAGAAGGGTCTCTGCGTTCAAACTAATTCAAATTATTTTTAGAGGACACGCTACATCAGGAAACAATCAATTGACAAAATGGAAAAAGAAAAGGATTACGCCTCTGATTCAGATGAAAGTGATGAAGATTTCCGTCCAGATGCTGCCGGCGAATCTGTTAGCGAGGAAGAATCCAATGGCGAAGATTCTGCTGATGGAGCAGACAACGAAGCAGCAGAAGCCGATACGAGCAAGGCCAAGAATGTCAAGAAAGGCAAACGGTTAACAAAGAAGCAAAGTAAAAAGAGAAACAATAAAAAGGACTCCGACGACGACGATGATGATGACGATGAGACGGAAAATTATAGAAGATCTACCAGACAAACTGATGGTGATCTAACGAATGGTAAAAATAAAACCATCGAAAAAGACACACTAGAATCGGATGAAGAAGATAAGTCAAGGACAAGTGCGTTGTGGGCAGATTTCCTGAAAGATGTTAATCCCGTTGCTGCAAAAACAAACAAAACCAATGGTGTAACGACAAAAGCAAGTGTTGTAGAAAATGCAAGTTCCTCAGATGCCCCCACAAATCGGGAATCAACAAAACTTAACGACAAACCAAAAGAGACTAATACGAAAAACACATCTGCCAAAGAAGAGCCAGAGCCACCGAAGAAAAAAGTAATTGTCACAGAAGTATTGGATTTTGCGGGCGAAGAGGTGCGTGTACAGAAAGAGGTGGACGCATCCAGTATTAAAGAGAATACAGCTGCTGTTACGGCGGCACCTAAAATGCAACCATTCGGACGTATAATGCCAGGGGCTGGCATCAAACGACCAGCAGGTCCAGGAACTTCTGGCGGTATTGGTTCACTACTCAATCAAATTGGCAAGAAAAAGAAATTGTCCGTATTGGAAAAATCACAAATGGACTGGAAGAGTTTCAAGACACAAGAGGGAATCGACGAGGAACTGCAAACCTTTAATAAGGGCAAAGATGGGTGAGTTATAAGGAATAAATGTGTTTTTTATGGGTCTAATAACTGGGGATGATGAGTCTTAATTTACTTTCTTAGGGAAAAGTCGATTTTAATGAACCTTAGAAAAAGTTTGGGATGTGAGTGAGGGAAATGAGTTCAGCACAAGCTTGCGGAAAATTGTGCAATGTTTACCGGAAGTAGGACTTGGTATCCTTATCACAGCGACATACGGCGGGTAAATCAATGCTTCCTGATACCCCTTTTTACTTTGCTATTTTTAAAACGATAATCAAAAAACAAAACTTTAAAATGTCACTACAGGTAGGTTTATGTGCCCTGCTTACAAAACCCAAACATTCTCGGGAGGTGAATCCATACTTCCCGAAATATAGGGCTCCAAAATTTAGCAACAACTCTTAATTAAAAAAAAATTAGTTGTTTTTAGATTTAATCCTTTTAAATAGCCGGTCTTTGGTCTGGGCTTCAGATTTTCACCTCTGGCTTCGCGAACCAAACTTTACTCAAATTTTATATTTATTAAATAAAAGAAAAAATATAAGGAACATCCTTTTTAAAATTTGGAGCCCTTTACCTCGGGAAATATGGGCCCACCGCCCGAAAATGTTTTGTTGTTGCAATCAAGATACAAAAAACTACCTACGGTGACAATTTGAAGTTTTTTTCGATTATTGGTTTAGAAATAGCATAAAAGGTATTTTTGTAACTTCGGAACACTATCTCTAGAATGATGTCGTTGTGATTAGCATAACAATACCTGTCTCGGGTAAAAATTTCAGACTTTCGACAACTAGAGGTTAATTAATTAACCCCCCTTAAGCATTTTAAGCATCATTACCTATCGTTTTTATTAACTAATTGTACCGTATCACTTTCTCAAATATATATTTATTAATTTTTTAATATATTCCGTTTGTTCATTTTTCCAGATATTTGGAACGCCAAGACTTCTTGCAACGCACTGATCTACGACAATTCGAAATTGAAAAAAGTCTACGACAATCTTCGCGTCGTCCTCTCTAAGCTATTAAATCAGGTTAATTTAATAAAAAAAAAAAACACTGTTCAGGTATAAGCAACAACTATAGTCCGTAATATACTTTACACCATTCAATTGCATCGCATCAAAGAAATCAATAAAACAAATTTAGCATTAATTTTTATTGTACAATTATTATACTTACTATGTATGTATAATAAACACACACACATATTTTTTTATTTTTATAAAAAAAAAAAACAAATTGTATTCCATAATTTTAGTTAACCCGCTATAAATCTTTTTAATAACAAAAAAAAAAAAAAAACTAGAGACGTGTTCATTCTTTTGATTGTAATTATACATATAAAATACATTATAAATATACATATGATTATATATTATAAATAATACAAATATTAAATAAAAGCATATGAACAATTAAAATTTGATAAACGCTTTATTGTCAAATAAGAAATATATTCTGACGGATATTGATATGGAGTAAAAATCACCCAAAACGATGTAGTGTATGTTTCTTAAGTCTTTTGATTTTAGAAAATTATAGATTTTGTTTATTACATTTTAGAAGGCGAAGAAGGACATCAAAATGGAAATGATATTTTCCGTACAAGGGGGTTCGATTAATCATAGCTTCCTCTACAAAAAAATCACTAAAGTAGCAATATAAAAACATATCTTCCAATTGAATTTTTCCCGCAGAAGAATTCATTTAAAAGAAAATATCTTATAATAAGGCGACTGAAGAGGACTCTCATATGCAAAATTTCTCTAGAAATACTGATAGATATGAAAATAAATATGGACATTTTCGCAGCAGAGACAAGCAAAATGATTATTAAAAAAATTAATACTTCTAATATTGGGGAAGTTACTAAAAAAGGTATGTATTGCCACTATTTCATTTGTTTTCAATGTTCAAAGAAGGATTTACGAAAGCCGCCGTGTATGATATCAAGAAGGACAGCCATAAAAAAAATCAGAGTCTGACGGTTTGTTGAATTTACGACAAAGGCAGCAAAAACTTAGAGCTATGGTAGTTCGTTTTTGATATAACTCCAATGGTGATTGGTATTAAAAATGCCAAATATAGGGCCATTTTTTGGTATAGACCCAATCAAATCAGCTGAAAGATAATGTTTCGCACTTTCAGTGGCATTTTTATAACATACAGGGTGAGATGAAAAAACTGCAACCAACCTAAGACTGCTGGTATTTCTTGGCCACTCGTTCGACATCTATTAAAATTATTCCAGTAACAGCTCATTATATTGTTTACAAGCGTACAAAAGCATTTTGGTGAGAATTTTCCAGAAAAAAGTTATTCGTTATGGAATTTAAGCGTGATAGTGTGATTTCTTTATTTTTGGCTGGAAAACCCACAAGTGGCTATCGTTAGAGCACACCAGCATTTAAATGTGAATAAATTTATTGTGTCTCGTACAATCGCTCATTTCCGTGATACTGGTAGCGTAGCCTGACCTCAGGGAAGTAGACGGAAGAGGTCATCAATATCAGCTGGTTCGAAAAGTAAGGAAGCGAATTGATCGAAAACCACGTCGCAGAAAAATGACTCGTGAGCTGAGCAGCAAATATTGAAAAATGAGCTCGGGGTAAAGCCATTGAAATTCCAAAAAGTGCAAGAACTTACACCACAATAGAAAGAAAATAGACTCAAAAGAGGCAAAGAGTTGCTTCCCTTGGCCCGAAAGTCGTGAACTGTCGAATTTGGTTTTCTTTGTTGCCCAGCGGTTTGTAAACAAACAAAACGATCGTGTTTATTTGCCAAGAGGTTAGCAGAAAATGTACACCTTCGGTTTGCCACCAGAACTCAAGCGCCGGCCATGGTGATGGTATGCGCCTCCATAACAGCCAATGTTCGCTCTCCGCTCATATTAATCTACCGTGGCATCAGAATTAATGCCAAATATGGTCGCGAAAATATTCTGGAGGGTGTTTTAAGGCCTTGGGCACGCAAACATTTTGGCCGCAGACCTTGGACATTCCAACAGGACTCAACACTATCGCACTCAGCACGCGTCACCTGAGAATGGTGACAAAATGAGGTTCCTCGCTACATTTTCAGCGCACAAAGGCCACCAAAATCTCCGGATACCAGTTCGTTGGACTATTGTGTCCGGAGTATTTTGGTATGCAAGGTTGGCACCAAAAAAATACTAAAGTGTCGATCGCCTCAAGCAAGCGCTACGCTGGGAATGGGCCAAAATACCGCAGAGCAATATTCGGCCAGCGTGTGATGGGTTCATTGGTCATTTGAAGTCCATAATTCGTGCCAAAGCTGACCAATTCGAACAAATCTAAACTTATTCTAAAAGTTGATGTTGTTTCCGACATTGCCTTCATTCAATAAACTTAAAAAAAGGGTAAAAATGATGGCGTTTGACTTTTTTGCAGTTTTTTTTTATCTCACCCTGTGTGTCCCCTATTTTATATACCTCCTGATTTTCGATATTTTAAAGGTTCAACCTGCTATTCGCAATAAGGCGTATCGGTTTCAAGATTGATTCACTATTTATAATGGTAGGTTAGGTAAGTCGATTTGTAGTTATACTTTAAATTATAAATACCTCAGACCTTCCGGTCCATTATGATCATTCTGCGGGAAAAGAGCCGTGTTTTAAATACAGCGCCCTAGCAAGTAAAGCCGGGATTTGAATTCACATCGAGATCATGCGTCGAATGTTCCTCCATTGCTAGTAGGTTTGATTGAGCAGGACAGCGGTGTAATAGGTATTCCGTTTTTTTCTCCGCCCTCCTCACGCAGCCTGCCCTATTCGACATTAGATTCTAACGATTAGAATTATCCCATTAAAATGTTCTGGATCGGATGTGACAGCCATGGTAGAGGAATACAGATAGTTGCATCGATATAGCTGCTGGGATAATGAACTGTCAAACCAATTTCGGAATTAAAAATTTTCAATGAACAATTATTGAAATTTGTAAAATGTTTTGAAAAATTCATATCATAAAACCCTCCGATTGGCTTCGCATAAGAAGAAAATATAGACATCTACTTATTTTTGACAAAACATCCAACAATTTTGACATATCAATATTCCCAAGCGTTAATGCATTTACCCGAATTCTTCTACCATGGTGACAGTGGCCTGTTAATATCTCTATTGTTATCCGTAATGCTTAATAGAGGCTGACCATAGCGCGAGGGGATATTTGGCTAAATTTGTTTTGATACCTTGCACAGAGGATCGTTGTACCTGCGCCCTTTGGGTTTCTCATTGGAAAGTAGTTCTAATCCTTCTGGTAAAATGACAAAGTTAGGGTTTAAAGGTGTCGGCGAAAGACAAGGTCTGTTAACTCCAACTCATCTTTCCAAATTTAACGGCCTTTTCCTTTTTTTGAATATTACAATGATTGTGTACCCAGCAAAGTCGGAGAGTAGTGTGCATATAGCCCACAGCCCTTCTACACCTCAGGACAACATCGGAAGTGATTTTAGAAGATTTCATATTTTTAAGAGCCGCTTGACCATTCACAACAATGGTCACCGGTTCAGTTATTTCATTTTCCATAGTTTTATTTCTAAGTTGAGGTTGCTACTTGAGGTGTACTTTTTAATGCGCTTGTAATTAGAATTGGAGCTGTGCTTGAGCGTTTCGAGATATTTTATTTGTATTTTAATGCGTACCACCAGAAAAGACTACCATTAGAAAGGATGGGTCAAATCACAGCTTTATACGTCTATTGTATGTTAGCGGGAGAAAGTCTCCAGGACTTTTGCTATTGAATTCTTGCAGGAGAAGCCTTTCTTCATGTGCTTCGCAATTTTTATACCCTCCACCATAGTATGAAGGGTATATTAAGTTTGTCATTCCGTTTGTAACACCTAGAAATATACATTTCAGATCCCACAAAGTATACATATTCTTCATCAGCATACAATTATATGTCGATTTATCAATCCGTCTGTGGAAATCACTCTAGCTTCCGAACGAAATGAAGTAGGTTGATAAAATTTTACTCAAATGTGTATTATGTCTGCAGGACTTTTCATATTGAAAATCGACCATGTAGGTCCACGTCTTCTAGCCCCCATATAACGGTACCTCCCGATATTCGGTATTTTGATGATTTTAGCGACATTATTTACCGGAATTGTTTCAAAATTGGTATTTAAAGTTCGTAATAGATACTTCGGCTAAAGACAGAAAATGGGCCATGTAGGTCCACGTCTTCGTATAGCCCCCATATAACGGTACCCCCGATATTCGGTATTTTGATGATTTTAGCGACATTAATTATCGGAATTGTTTCAATTTTGGTATTTAAAGTTCTTAATAGATACTATAGCCTATAACAAAAAATTGTCTGAGCAGGTCCACGTCTTCGTATAGCCCCCATATAACGGTACCTCCCGATATGCGGTATTTTGATGATTTTAGCGACATTATTTACCGGAATTGCTTCCAAATTGGTATTTAAAGTTCGTAATAGATACTACGGCAAAAGACAGCAAATGGGCCATGTAGGTCCACGTCTTCGTATAGCCCCCATATAACGGTACCCCCCGATATTCGGTATTTTGATGATTTAAGCGACATTATTTACCGGAATTATTTCAAATTTTGTATTTGAAGTTCGAAATGGATACTAAGGTTAAGGACAGAAAATGGGCCATGCAGGTCCATGTCTTCGTATAGCCCCCATATAACGGTACCTCCCGATATGCGGTATTTTGATGATTTTAGCGACATTATTTAACGGAACTATTTCAAATTTTTTATTTGAAGTTCGAAATGAATACTATAGCCTATAACAAAAAATTGTCTGAGCAGGTCCACGTCTTCGTATAGCCTCCATATAATGGTACCCCCCGATATTCGGAATTTTGATGATTTTAGCGACATTATTTACCGGAATTATTTAAAATTTTGTATTTGAAGTTCGTAGTGGATACTACAGCCTATGACAGAAAATTGTCTGTGCAGGTCCACGTTTAATAACCCCCATGGTACCTCCTGATATTTGGTATTTTGATGATTTTAGCTACATTATATACAGATTTTTTTTAAGTTTCGCATTTAAATATTGTAATAGTATGTGACAAAAGTTGCCTATGCAGGTCCACGTCGTCGTATAGACCCTAATATATGGCTACAATCGGTATTTTTAAGATTTGAACAGAATTTTTAGCGGATTTTATTTTTTTGAAAATTGTTAAATTTTTACCAAATGGTGGAGGGTATTCAAAGTTCGGCCCGGCCGAACTTACAGCTTGTTTTATTTGTTTTTTTTTATCTTTGTATTGTAACTCCTCTGTTAGGAATTTGTAGGTACAAGTTTTCGTATAGCCCCATGTAAGGGGTTCACCCAATATTCGGTATCTTGAGGTTTTCAAAGGATTTTTCTTTCAATCAATGCAGTATTGATCCAAAATTTGCCTTGCCGTATTGATCAGCATTCCAAAAAGGGTTAATGCCAAACTACAATATGCAGATGAGCTATTGGAATTTTAAGTAGCCCATAAAAATTACTATAGAAGCTATGAATGAATGGATAAATGAAATGGGTAAACAGATAACAGATCAAAAAAACAACAACAATAACAACAAAAATAGATTCCAATTTAGATGTTAACAGCATACGATGGTATTTCTGTCTGTCTGTCTGTCTGTCTGTATGTAACAGGGGAAGCTATGCAATTACACAAACGCAGCGACAACAGCAGTGATGTTAACGTTGAGTGTCTCACAGAAAAGCGAATCAACGACCCGACCGACTTGGCTGGCTGCTAAATAAAAAAAAGCCACAGCTCACAAATGTGGCCAAAATACAACAACCAAAACAAACTAAAATCCATAACAAAATGTTAAGACTTATTGGCGGCTCATAACGGCATTCGGCAGTCAGTTGCTAAACGTCTTTGCGCAGAGAAACTACCAGTGAGCGGTGGAAGAAAACTTGAAATCGAGATTTAAAGAAAAACAGAAAATCTCAAAGAAAAATAAAAAAATAATAAAAAAAGATCATGCCAAATTAAGAAATCAAAAATCTAATGAGGATGATAGTGGGAAAATAATAAAAAAGTATGAAAATGGAAAATAATAAAAAAAATGCAAATTATATAAAAAAAAATAATATTTTTTAATTTAATTAAATACCTTTAATAAAGTAATAATAATAAAACAATAAAGAAAAGTTAAATAACACCCTTCAAAAGTTAATTATTTGTAAAAAAATAATAAACCTTATCCTTTTCGGCTGTTTGCATTCCAAATAAAAATATCAAGAGTTTGTTTGCAAGTTTTCCTTTTACTGGGTGAAAGTTTTGATAACTTAGTTTTTAACTAAAAAAAAAAAAAAAAATACAGCTGAAATAAACCAAAGCATAATCCCCTTCGCTAAACTATCGACAAATACTAAAAAAATAACAACAATATCTTTGGTGTGACTTGTTGGCTCTTCGTTTTTTTTTTCAAACAAACTAAATTAAATTGGCTTTGTTTTACATCAAAGAGCTAAATATTCGGTGACGTTATTAGGAATGGTAACGACAACTAAGATTATAAAGAAAACTTAACACAGTGCTACAGTTGTTTTGTTGCTGTTCTACTTTTTTTTATAAATTTAAATTAATGAATAAACAATTAAAAATAATACTCAGTGGCAAAGTGTTATAATCTTGAGATATAAAACGTGAAAAAGGCGATAAGTTGGATTTTTCCTTAATTTTTATATCCTTTGCATTTTGAAAACTCAAACTTTGGTCATGTCGGTTATCCTCAATATCCTCTAAAATTTGATAAAGCTTTACAAAGTGTTACAGTTTTGAGAAAAAAGGTGAGAAGTTAGGTCGCATTGTGGAAATGTAAATTTTTGGACAAATCGGTTGCTTTCAAAATGCCTTAAATAGCCTTAAATTGTGTAAATAATGAAATTTTTTGTATATACAGGGTGAGATAAAAAACTGCAAATAACTCAAAAGCCATAATTTTTACATTTTTTTTTTTAATTATTATTGAATAAAAGCAAAATATGTCGGAAATAGCATCAAATTTTAGAATGCGTTTAGATTTGTTCGAACTGGTCACCTTGGGACGAATTATGGTCGTCAAACACCAAAGAAAACATAACACGCTGCCCGAATGTTGCTCTGCGCTATTTTGGCCCATTCCCTGCGAAGCGCTTGCTCAAGGTGATCTACACTTTGGTATTTTTATACCCTCCACCTTGGAAAGGAGGGTATATTAACTTTGTCATTCCGTTTGTAACATCCTTAAATATTCGTCGTAGACCCCATAAAGCATATATATTCATAATCAGCATAAAATTCTAAGTCGATTTAACGATGTCCGTCTGTCTGTCTGTCCGTCTGTCTGTCTGTTGAAATCACGATACAGCACACATTATTTGACGTAGAGCGCCAAAATTTAGCAGAGCAATTGGTATTGTGTCTAGGATGGTTGGTATTGAAAATGAGATATATCGGTCCACGTTCTGGTATAGTCCCCATATAACGGTACCTCCCGATATTCGGTATTTTGATGATTTATGCCACATTATTTAACGGATTTGTCTGAAAATTGGTATTTGTAGGTCATAACGGGTCCCTGTACGTGTGGCAAAACATAGCATGTATAGGTCCACGTTTTGGTATAGCCTTCATATAATGGTACCTCCCGAAATTCGATATTTTGATTAGTTTTTGCCACAGTTTTTAACGGATTTGTCTAAAATTTGGTATTTGTGGGTAATAATGAGTTCCAGCTCCGGTGGCGAAACATTGCATGTATGGGTCCATGATTTGGTATAGCCCCCATATAACGGTACCTCCCGATATTCGGTATTTTGATGGTTTTTGCAACATTTTTTCACTGATTTGTGTAAAAATTGGTATTTGTGAGTCATAATGGGTCCTAGTTCGTGTGGCGAAACATTGTATGTATAGGTCCACGTTTAGGTGTAGTCCCCATATAACGGAAGCTCCCAATATTCGGTATTTTGATGATTTTTGACTGATTTTTTCACGAATTACACTGAAAATTTGGTAGTTGTAGATCATAATGGGTCCCAGTTCGTGTGGCGAGTCATTGTAATTATAGGTCCACGTTTTGGTATAGCCCCCATATAACGGTACCTCCCGATATTCGGTAATTTAATGATTTTTGCCCCTTTTTTTCACGTATTTGTCTGAAAATTGGTATTTGTAGGTCATAATGGGTTCTAGCGCCGTTGGCGGAACCTTGCATGTGTAGGTCCACGATTTGGTAGAGCCCCCATATAACGGTACCTCCCGATATTCGGCATTTTAATGGCTTTTGCCACATTTCTTCTAATGTTTCCTTTACCCTAAGGTGGAGGGTATTAAAAGTTTGGCCCGGCCGAACTTAATGTTTTTTTACTTGTTCAATGCTAACCTTGCTTTTCAAAATACTTCAGACACAATAGTCCAAAGGATTGGTATCCGGAGATTTTGGTGGTCATTGTGCGCTGGAAATGGAGCGAGGAACCTCATTTTGTAACCATTCTTGGGTGGCGCGTGCTGAGTTCTGTTGGAATGTCCAAGGACTGCGACCAAAATGTTTGCGTGCCCAAGGCTTTAATACATCCTCCAGAATATTTTCACGATAAAATTCGGCATTAATTTTGATGCCACGGTCGATTAATACGAGCGAGGAACGATCATTGGCTGTTATGGCGGCCCACACCATCACCATGGCCGGCGCTTGAGTTCTGGTGTCCAACCGAAGGTGAACATTTTCAGCTGACCTCTTTGGCAAGTAAACACTATCATTTGATCTTGTTTGTTTACAAACTGCTGGACAACGAATGTTTTCTCATCGGAGAAAACCAAATTCGGCAGTTCGCCACTTTTGGCCAAGCAAAGCAATTCTTTAGTTCTTTTGAGTCTATCTGCCTTATGTTGCGATGTAAGTACTTGCAATTTTTGGAATTTCAATGGCTTTACACCGAGCTCATTTTTCAATATTTGCGAATGGAATATTGCAATATGTTCAGCTCACGAGCCATTTTTCCGGCACTGCGACGTGGGTTTCGATCAAGTCGTTTCTTTACTTTTCGAACCATTTCTGCTGATGTTGCTGTTTTCATCCGTCCACTTCCTTGACATATGTCAGGCTAAGCTACAAGTATCACGGTAGCGAGCGATGTTACGAGACACAAAAGATTTATTCACATTTAAATGCTGGAGTGCTCGAAGGATAGCCACTTTTGGTTTTCCAGTCAAATATAAAGAAATCACACTATTACGCTTCAATTTCACCACGAATAACTTTTTTTCTGGAAAATTCTCACCAAAATGCTTTTGTACGCTTGTAAAAAATATAATGAGCTGTCACTGGAATTATTTTAACAGCTGTCGGACGAGTGGCTTGGAAATGACAGCAGTCTTAAGTTGGTTGCAGGTTTTTCATATCACCCTATAGACCATGTTGTCACAAACGTCCTATGCTGGACCCCAATGGTACCGGTTAAAAAAAACCCACCTTCTTTCATCACGGGAAGTACTCCAATGCTTTCGCTGACTTTTATATTGGAGCCCAGAGATTACAATTTTTTTTGTTTTTCAGAAAAAAAAAAACAGCTTTTACTTTATAACATTTCTTAATTTAGATCGATCCTTTTTTTGGGTCTTTCAATTTCTTTTTTTTTAATTTAGGGATATTTTTGTAAGATTTGCCAAAATTTAAAATTAAATCCCTTATAAATATCCATTATCCGCTCTATAAAAATCATTAACAAGATAATTTTTCAATATTCATTGTATATGTATTAGTGTGAGTGCGCGTGTTTAAATATCAATAATAATGTTTGTTTTTTAATGTTGTAGGCTTGTGTAATATTTTTCAATACGAAAGTAAGTGACTAAAATTACAAGAAACTTAAACAAAAATACCAAACTTAATCTCAAGACAGTTGTTGTTGTTGTTGCCCTGCAAGCTACCAATATTGACTCTCTTACATGCTGGTATTGGTGGTGCTGGTGATACTGGTTACAACTTCAACCGAAAGTGTATAACGAACGCCAAAAAATATAAAAAAAAACAAATAAAAACAACAGCAACAACAACGTTTTCTTTAATGTAATTTGGCCAAATTCATTGAATCGTACGTACGGTTAAAAAAACGTTACATTCAACATTTATTGATGGCTGGCGTTGTCGTTGTTGTTGCCATAGACATGCGGCAGTTCCATTATTTTTAATCACCGTGATCGTCGTCGTCGTCGTCGTTGTCGTCTTATTTGTTGTTATTGTTAACATCGTCGCCGCCGTCGTCACAAGTGCGTGCCCGTTTCGTTGACTGCTGTGCATTGGAAAACGTTTTCATATTCCGAAAAAAACACTAACAAACCGAAGAAAACAAAAACAACAACAACAATAACAACAACAAAATTGCAGTCTAACTAAAGTTTGTCCGGTCGAAAAAACCGAAATTATTTGAATTTCATTTAATATTCAACGGCTTAACGGTGACATTCGTCGTAATTATCAACGTCATCGTCATAAACATCGATAACTGGAAAACGTCAATCACCCCCGAAATAACATCATTGTCATCATCATTTGTCAACGATTTTTTTGAGCTGTAGTTAAGGTATGCCTATTTTTCTATTTTGTTCTGTTTTGTTTTTTTTTTTTAATTTTTTGAATTTAACATTAACAGTTTATATATTTTTTATTTAATAAAGATATTATGTAAAGTATTTTTTCACATCTAGTCGCAAATTAGATTTTATTATCGATAAACGATTAATGCAACTTTTTTATGACAATGATAATTAGGCTTTACAGGCCTAAGCAGGTAGAGCGGTTGGGACATAGCATATACCTCTTAGTGCCGATAATGCTCTAATATTTTAATATTATATTATATATTTAATCCATTAATTTTGAAGAATATATTTAAGGATTTTAGAATTTGATGTTTTGAGCCAATTTTCGAAAGGGTTGTCAGCGTCATAATCGTGAACTTTTTACTAATATTTCTCATAGTCTTATAGAGTTATAATTATTGATTTTCTAAGGATTATTAGAGACATAAACAAAGGACTTTAAAACAATTTTCGAGCACTATCAGAGCTATTAGTGTTATTTTTTAAGAATATTTTTCAAGGACTTTTAGAACTACAAATTTGCATTTTTCAAGAATATTTTTAAGGATCAAAAGAATAATAAACTTAAATGTTTCAGAAATATTTTTTTCAAAGGAGTATTAGCGTCAAAAACGTGTATTTAAAAAAAAAACAAATTTAATGCCTAACAGACTATTAAATGTGAATTCAATGATCAACAGACAATTAAACGAGGATTTTTGAAGAATATTCTTTCAAGGACTGATCATCAAAGTTATTGAAATTTTTTAAGGAATATTTTTTCGAACATACTACCCAACGTGGACTTTTTTGGAATATTTTTTCAAGGACCATCAGACCGACAAGTTATGATTTTTCAGGGATATTTTTTCAAGAATTAACTGTCCACTAACCGTGGATTTTTTCTAAGACCAGTAGACCACCAATGACATTCCTTTAAGTATCAACAGACAACTTTACTTGGATTTTTAGAGAATATTTTTTCTAGGGGCAAAACACTTCCAATCGTGTATTTTTAAGAATATTTTTCTAAGGACTAACAAACCACTCAACGTTAATGTTCAAAAAACATTGGCAAACAGACCACTAAACATGGAATTTAAAATAATATTTTTTTCAAAGACCTTCAGAACACCAAACATGAACTCTATTAAGAATATATTTCAAAGGACTAACAAAAACAAAAATCTGAACTTTTAAACTATATTTCTTTATGACTAATGGATCACTAAACTTGGATTTTAAAAGAATATTTTTTCAAGGACCAATAGACTATTAAACGTGGATTTTAAAGAAATATTTTTTAAGGATCAACAAACAACTAACGTTGGATTTTTAGAGAATATTTTCAAACGATCAACTTATTATTAATGCTGATTTTTAAGGAAAATTTTTTTAAGACTATCCGGGTACTATGCGTGGATTTTCGAAAGGTTATTTTTCAAGGATAAACTGACAGCTAAATTGGGAATTTCAGAGAATATTTTTTTCAAGGACCAAAAAACACCAGATGTGGATTTTTTCAGAATATTTTTGCAAGGTCCAACAGACCACTAAACGTAGAATTTAAAATGATATTTTTGCAAGAACCTTCGGAATATTAAACGTGGATTTTCAAATGACTATCAATAACAAAAATATGAATTGTTAACAATATTTCTTTAAAGACTCTTATGCCATAAAGTTTCATTTTTTTAAATAAAACGTTATATTTTTTCAAGAATTTTTGAAGAATTTTTGAGAATACTTTTAGAAATATTTTTGTAAATATCAATGATTATATTTTAAAAATTTATTTTCGAAGACTTCCAGAGGATTTTCTAGAATATTTTTTGATAGACTATCTGGGCTATAAACGTGGATGTTTATACCCACAGTCCTACGGTTACAAAGGGTATGTTTTATTTGATGTAGCTTCAACGAAATAACGGTTTTAGACCCTAGGTCTCTTTGGACGATATCCGTTTCAGGACATTTGGAGTTTTACACCAAAAAGTCTTCAAAATCGTCAATTTTGAAGTTTGCCGAGGTAAAACCATTACACATCCAATTTTCTGTTCAAACCTTTTTCCACATCCCCATGACCTCTATATCAAATTTCAGGATTCCAGCTCTATTCGCTCACTCAATACCAAATTTAGAACTATTTAGTACTTTTAGTACAATAATAGCACACATTTCCAAAATCTCCTCCATATCTCAATTCTAGATACTAAAAGAGTCCGGAATATCAAATTTGAGGATAGCGGTCCTATTCCTTTATCAAATATAGTAGCATTGAGAACTTTTCGTACAATTATGAACAAACTGCAACCAACTTCAGAATGCTGTCTTTCCCAAGCCACTCGTCCGACAGCTGTTAAAATTATTCCAGTGACAGCTCATTATATTGTTTGCAAGCGAACAAAAGCATTTTGGTGAGAATTCTCCAGAAAAAAAAGTTATTCGTGATGGAATTCAAGCGTGATAGTGTGATTTATTTATATTTGGCTGGAAAACTACAAGTGGCTATCGTTAGAGCACTCCAGCATTTAAATGTGAATAAATCTTTTTTGTTTCGTACCATCGTTCGTTGCCGTGATACTGGCGTAGCGTAGCCCGACGTTAAGGAAATGGACGGAAGAAAACAGCAACATCAGCAGAAATAGTTCGAAAATGATTGAAACCGCGTCGCAGTGCCGGAATATTCCATTCGTTAACTATGAGCTCGGGGTAAAGCCATTGAAATTCCAAAAAGTGCAAGAACTTACACCGCAACAGAAAGAAAATAGACTCGAAAGAGCTTAAGAGTTGCTTCCCTTGGCCAAAAGTGGTGAACTGCTGAATGGTTACAAACCCACCCAAGAATGGTTACAAAATGAGGTTCCTCGCTTCATTTCCAGCGCACACTGGCCACCAAAATCTCCGGATACCAATCCGTTGGACTATTGGTCTGGAGTATTTTGAAAAGCAAGGTTGGCACTAATAAATACCAAAGTGTCGATCACCTCAAGCAAGCGCTTCGCCCAAAATGGTTCAAAATACCGCAGACCAACATTCGGGCAGCGTGTGACGGTTTCATTGGCCGTTTGGAGGCCATAATTCGTGCCAAAGGTGACCAATTCGAACAAATCCAAACTTATTCTAAAATTTGATGCTATTTCCGACATTTTTTTGCATTCCTCAGCACAACCTGAAAGTGCTACCTGCACAAGAGGTAGTGAGGAGTTGGAATAAAAAAAAATAAAATGTCAAAAGTCATTTCTATGTTTCTATCAACACCAAATCTAATGTAAATATGGGCAATGACGGTACACCCATTCTGGTAACTCAGCCAAAAAATTCAAAAGTTTTCAAAAATTAAATACATACATATCTTTTGAAAAATGATAAAGTAATCGATATACGCTCAATCTGGTACGTTGCAATATTTATATCAGACTAAGGTCAGATATGAAATTGGCACACACCTTGGAAGTGCATTTAATGTACATTTCCCCTAAGAATAGCAGAACTTTCTGAGTTAAAACGTGGTTTCTCTTAAGTACTTTCACAGCGGTCAATATTAATTTTTATTAGGACTACAAGTAACCATCGTTTTCTGTGACAACAGAACCTTCCATTATTTTATTGCTTATTTTTCAGCAGCTGATTGCATTTACCTTTACTTTCCCGTAATTCCCCTCACTCCATGCAAAATACGAAAAAAGCGCTGCTACTGCTGCTGCCATTCAATCACTTTCCAGTTAGTATATGACCCAAATATTAACTTGTTTTGGAATATTTTCACTGATTTGGAAATGTAATGGCATAGCAAGTTATAGTTTAGATTTCATATCGAAGCGAGAGGGAGGAATTGAGCGTTTCATACTTAATTGCTTTACATTTCATGGCATCTTAAAGAAAATAACGGGCATCATTAAATGTAATTTGGTTGTGGTTTTTTCTTCTGAGGGGGAAAGTGTGGGATGGAAGGGGTGTGTACGGTAGGCTTATATAGTTATTTTCGAAGAAATTTTGGAATATTCTTTAAAGAGAACAAGTTAAAAAGTACCGACAAATGTCTACCCTCAGCCAATATTCGATTATTTAAATATATTTTTTACTTCTGTTACGATTGTTCGAATTGTTGGCCCTCTGTGGAATAGGTTCCGATGGAACGGGCCAATATTGTCTATTACATATCGAACGTAAATAAATATGATATGAATATTGCGACGTGCCAGTTTTGGACTACTTCCTTCACTTTTTATGAGATATGTGATAATTTTTAAAAAATATATAAATCTGCATGACGTACCAGATGTAGTTTTCCGAAATATTCAATTTTCATACTAACACTTTCATAATTACCAGAAAATCGAACATTCATATCCAATTAAGAGAACTTTGTGGATATATCAAGTTGTAAAGAATGGCTGACTTCTTTCACAAGTTTTGGCAAATAAAAGTATTGACAATTTGTGGGTGAGGTACCAGAAGAAATGGCCCGATCTCTACCATCTTTATGACATATCTTGTGTTGATGGAACTATTGAGAAGTGTCAATTCTGAATTTCGCGGTTTATGAGCTTAATGGATGTTCAAAATTCGCAATCTCATGACTCATTGTGGAGAATGTACCAAAAGAAGCGGATCGATATATTCCATCTTCACACAAGGCCTGGGGTTAATAAAAATATTATGATGTGCGAAATTTGAAGACAATCGAACTCTTACATCACATTTTATATGAGTTACAAATATTCAAAATTTTGACCATTTGTGGGGGAGGTACTGGATGGAGTGAACCAGTATTCTCCGTTTCGCACCTGAAATACCACTAATGCAGATATTAGGATTTGCAAAGTTGGAGCAAAATCGGATTATATTTTCTGTGCAGTAAAATATTTTCTTTGACATTTTGTGGGGGAGGTATCAGAAGGAGTGGACCGATATTGCCCATCTTCGAACTCGATCTAAGTTTGATAATAATATTCTGATGTACTAAGTTTGGCGGATAGAAAAGAGGGAAATCGCCAGA